CTGCCGGTGAGGCCCTCTGCACCTGGAACAGCCTTCTGCCCCCTCCCCAAGCCCTGTTGAACCCTCAGAACATCCCTCAGACCCTCCCCAGGCTCCGTTGAATCCCCAGAGCCAACCCCCAACCAGGATGCCAGATACAGTAAATGAGAATAGAGCTAAATGAGGATTTCAGAGGAGCTGTGCCTGTTTTTTAGTGTTAAGAGGGTCCCATGCAGTAGTGGGGACATTCTTAGTTATCTGAAATCCAGTTTTCATGGGGTGTCCTGCGGTTTATTTGGCAACCTTGCTCCCCTTGCCCGCCCACCCAGAACCACTCCCTTCCCTCCCACGGCCCCAGGAACCTCTCAGGCCTCTCCTTGCACCTAGTGGACCCCCGCACCCCCTCCTCTAGCGCCCCCAGCCCCATCTCCCTTCTGTCAGGGATGTGGCTCGGGGCTATGAGAACGTGCCTATTCCCTGTGTCAACGGCGTGGACGGGGAGCCCTGCCCTGAGGATTACAAGTACATCTCGGAGAACTGTGAGACGTCCACCATGAACATCGACCGCAACATCACCCACTTGCAAGTGAGTGGGGGGCCCTGCACCCTCTCAGAGGGACATCCAGGGCTGCCAGGGACAGTTGGACAAGTCGTGGGCCAACAGGGGAGCGGGGCCAAGAGGGAACTCAGGTGTGGGCTTGCATCCATCTGGGAAAGGCTCCTTTTTTTAGGCCACATGAAGGTATATGGGCTCACGGTAGCCCCGGGACACCCCTGTCAGCAGCATCTTGATTCCCCCTCACACTGGGACCATCAGCACCCACTGTCCTAAAATAATGACCTCAGAGGAAGGCCAGTGGCTGGGGGTCAGGGAGCGCTGGTTGCTGAGGGGACAAGGCCGCTTCTGAGGGCCGAGCTAACCCTGCCCCCTGCCCCAGCACTGCACGTGCGTGGATGACTGTTCCAGCTCCAACTGCCTCTGCGGTCAACTCAGCATTCGCTGCTGGTATGACAAGGTGCGTGTGCTTGCCCCGCTCACCGCCGCCAGGGTGCAAACCAGCGGCCCACTGGGGTCCTGGTCTCTGAGCTCAGCTCACATGGCCTCCCCCAGCCCGTCCTCCCCGGCTGTGGGGTTGGGAGCCCCGCGGTGGGCACCACGTGGAAACCACTTGTCCTTCCCTCCCTCGACCCCAGGACGGGCGGCTGCTCCAGGAATTTAACAAGATCGAGCCCCCACTGATATTCGAGTGTAACCAGGCGTGCTCCTGCTGGAGAAACTGCAAGAACCGGGTGGTGCAGAGCGGCATCAAGTGAGGCCCACCCCTGCAGCCCGCCCTCAGCCCACCTCACCCCCGCGCCCCTCCACCTAACACCAGCCTCTCCCCCGCCCCCCAGAGTGCGACTGCAGCTCTACCGAACAGCCAAGATGGGCTGGGGGGTCCGCGCCCTGCAGACCATCCCCCAGGGCACCTTCATCTGCGAGTGAGTAGGGGTCAGGGGCTGGGTGCCCACCCGCAGCTGACTCTCAGGTCTCCCTCCGCTCTCCTCCCTGACGGGCACTGCACCTCCCTGGCCCCCAGGCTGCCCAGACCGCAGAGCTCCTGCCACCACTGCCACACCGCCCCTCCCCTGCCTTTCCAAGCTGGGAGACAGACCTGGGTTTGAGCCGCAGTCTGCTGCTGAGCATCCTTGGCCAGGTTCTTAATCTCTCTGAGCCTCATTTCTCTTGTCTGCACAATGGAGGTGATAAGGCAACTTTTCCGTCCACCTCCACTTTCTTTTCCCAGCATCTGTCACCATCCCTGTCTCCTGCCCGGCTCCTCCCCCACGGCTTGCAGACTTCATCTAGGCCTCCTTTGGCCCCATTTCCCTATTTAAGGGATCATCCATTTTCTCTTGTTTCTTTTTTTTTTTTTTTAAGATTTTATTTATTTATTTGAGAGAGAGAAAACAAGTGGGGTAGGGGCAGAGGGAGAAGCAGGCTCCCCACTGAGCAGGGAGCCCGATGCAGGGCTTGATGCAGGACTCGATCCCAGGACTCTGGGATCATGACCTGAACCGAAGGCAGATGCTTAACTGAGCCACCCTGGCACCCCCATTTCCTCTTTATTGGGTCATCTTTTGGGGCGCCTGGGTGACTCAGTCGTTAAGTGTCTGCCTCCGGCTCAGGTCGTGATCCCAGGGTCCTGGGATCGAGCCCCGCATCGGGCTCCCTGCTCCGCGGGAAGCCTGCTTCTCCCTCTCCCGCTCCCCCTGCTTGTGTTCTTGCTCTCGCTGTGTCTCTCTCTGTCATATAAATAAATAAAAACCTTAAAAAAAAAGAATAATTCTTGGGTCATCTCTCGACTTTGTTCAAATGGCCCCTCCCTCCCTCCTGGACCTTGAGTTCCCCACCATGGGCTCACTGCTCGTCCCTGCCGGAATCGGCCTCTGCCCTCACCCTTTGGCTGATGCTGCCTCTCTGCAGCCTGCACCCGCCCCAGGTCTTGGTCCTCATTCCGGTGCCTGCTACCCGCCTTGCTCTGGTTCCCGTGACACTGTCCTCATCTGGACTCCCCCTTCCTTCCTCTTCACCAGCTTCTCTTCCTCTGCTTTCTCAGGGTGGCTGTCCTTGTCCCCAGCGCCTTCCCAGAATCCCTCACGGCCCCTGTGGCTCCATCCATTCTTGCAGGCCTGCCGTCTCTCCTGTCCTGCAGCCTGGCCTCGCCAGCACGGGCTGGGTGACTCCTAGTGCACACACCTCCCAGTCACTAAGCCCGCACGGATTGCCCCACCCAAACCAGCTGCCCGCAAATACGGGTCCCCTTCATCACAGGGGCTTGGCGTCAACCTGCTCCCTGATTCTGCCTCCGGCTCAGCTCAGGCCCTGCCCTTTACCTTCCCCGCGGCTCCTCCTCCAGCTCATCCCCAGCCCACCGGCCCCCAGCTTCCCCCACATGTGCCAGTCCTGCCCGTTGTTCCAGCTGTCTAGCAGTAGACCCCAGCCGGCTGCAGGAGGCCCTGTGTGTCCCCTCCCATGCTGGTGTCCCCTTGTTCTTCCTCCTGCTCCTCACTCCAGCTGGGAGCTGCCCACCTCCCCCAGCCCGTGATGCCTGATGTCCGCTGTCCGTGCCCGCTCTGCCTTGGCTGCGCACCCCAGCCATGTAGATCTGTGGGATCCGTGGATGCGGAGTGGGGCAGTTGACAGATCGTGAAGGAGGATTCCGCGGGGTTCTGAAGAGGGACAGGGCCTGGAGCTGGCTCCCGATAACCCCCGCTCACCTTCAGAACCACCACTTCCTGTCCCACAGGTATGTCGGGGAGCTGATCTCTGATGCCGAGGCTGATGTGAGAGAGGATGATTCCTACCTCTTCGACTTAGACAACAAGGTGGGCAGGAGACCCCTCTGTGCCTTGCAGCCGGTCAGCAGATGGAAACGTGGGGAGGAGGGACTGGGGGTCCGTCCGTGGGTGGGGAGGTTGGCCAGGCAAACAGGGTAGTGGTGATGTGAAGAGTGCTGCCCTCCCCTCAGGATGGAGAGGTGTACTGCATCGATGCCCGTTACTATGGCAACATCAGCCGCTTCATCAACCACCTGTGTGACCCCAACATCATCCCCGTCCGGGTCTTCATGCTGCACCAAGACCTGCGCTTTCCACGCATTGCCTTCTTCAGTTCCCGAGACATCCGGACTGGGGAGGAGCTGGGGTGAGGTGTCTCCGGGGTGTGCCCGGGGTGTGGGAGATGCAGCGAGCCTGGGACCAGACGCCGGAGGCTGGAGCGTGCCTGGTGTCTAGGCATGGATTAGAGCCGAGCCTGTCAAGACAGTATGAATGGAGTCCTGGGCCTCACAGATTTTGATTCAGTAGATCTGGGATGGAGCCCAGGATTCTGCACGTCTGACAAGTGCGCAGGCAGGGCTAGTGCGGTGGGTCCTTGCGCAGGGAAGGGCTGGGAGCCTGTCGGAGACCGTGGGGGTGGGTGCTTTGGGGTAGGCCTGGGCCACTGGCTCTGGATCCTGTAGCCTCCTGTCCTCCTCCTACAGGTTTGACTATGGTGACCGCTTCTGGGACATCAAAAGCAAATACTTCACTTGTCAGTGTGGCTCGGAGAAATGCAAGCACTCCGCCGAGGCCATCGCCCTGGAACAGAGCCGCCTGGCGCGCCTAGACCCCCACCCCGAGCTGCTGCCCGAGCTCAGCTCCCTGCCCCCCGTCAATCCCTGAGAGCGGACCACACGCACACCCCACCCCCGGGTGGCCGCCAGCTCAGCAGCCCCCTTGGCCACTTGCTGCTCACAGCCCACACCTTGGGGCGCTGCCATCTTCTCTCCCCTCCCCCTTCACACATTCCTTGGCCCAAGACCCCAGCCAGGCCCTGGAGGTCTGACAGCCCCTCTCTCCCAGAGCTGGTTCCTCCCTGGGAGGGTAACTTCAGGGCTGGCCACTCCCTGTTCCCCATCCTCAGCTGAAATTCGATGAATTGAAATTGGGCCTCTATGCCAGCTCGTTTCCTTTGTTCTCAATAAATACTGGGTTTGGTAATAAACTGTCTTGATGACTGTTGGGCTGGGGGCTTGGTCAGGGCGGAAACACACACAGCTAGAAGGAATGTGGGTCCAAGGGACCAAGCAGGATGGGAAGCAGGCTGGACAGGTGTGGCTGGTGTGGACAGCCACCCGAGGGGAGGGGAGGGTTGTGGGGAGACCACTGTGGACAGGGTCCAGTCAAGGGCTAAAAGGCAAATCTCAACACTTCATCTTCGGCAGGAGAGTGTAGGTGTGAGTGAACCACAGCTGAAGTAATTTGCAAAAACAGGAAGGATTTTCTTAAAGCGTGCCCTGGTCCACGGAGCCCGCGGCAAGCAGGCAAGCAGCCCTGAGCCGGTCCCAGGCTCGGCCTTCCAGGCCTCCAGCAGGGCACTGCCCAGGCGGAGTTGAGAAGGAGGAACCAGAGTGTGTCGGGGCCACAGGCGGAGGTGGGGCTGTGACGTGTGGGAGGGCGGGGCGGGCGGCAGGTGAGTTGCTAGGTCTCCCTGGCTCCAATCACTCTGGAGACTGAGCCATGGGGGGAAAACAGGACGGGGAGGAGGCCTATGGTGAGTCTGAGGGCAAGGCTGGGGCAGAGGCCCAGGACCCTCGGAGGGAGGGGAGCGATGGCTGGGGCTGGCCCCGGGGAGAGGGGCTGAGGGGAGTCCTGCCTGGGTCCCTGAAGGGAGGGCTTGGAAAGAGCTGATGGAAAGAAGTAGAGTCAGGGTCCTGGGACGAGGATTGGGTTCAGGGGCTGGGGGCCTTCACCAGGGAGCCTTTGGAGAGTGAAGCTGGGGAGCTGGGGCTGGAATCTGGGTCCCTCAGGGCAGGGCCCTGGGAAGCAAAGCCTCAATGGAAGAAGGCAGGGTCAGGGTCCTGAGCAGGAGGATGGGGCTCAGGGGCCAGGAGGGGCTATGTGCTGCAGAGCCCATGAGGGGTGAGGCTGGGGTCTGGGCCCCTGTCAGGAGGAACAGCTGGGATCCCTGTGAGGAAGGGGAGTTTCAGTCCTGAACCCTGGGTCTCTGAGGGAAAACAGTGCTAGAAGTCGGCTTCCCAGGGTCTCTGTGAGCAGTGACAGCAGGAGTGGGGTGTGTTTGGGGGTCCTGTGAGGCATTAGGGCTGTGGGCCTCTGTGGAGAGGGGGCCGGGTCCTGCCTCTGGGGTCTCTGTTAGGAGGGGAAGACTTCTCAGGGTACCATGAGAGATAGGCGCAGGGGCTTCACAAGGGCTTCCTGGGAAGGGTAAGGCGAGGGGAGAGGGAGCAGGGAGCCTATCTGCAGAATCTCCGTGAGGACCCAGGGCCAGGAGCCTGTCCCAGAGACCGCTAGGATTAGGGGTAGGGTGTTCTGAGACGAGAGGGAACTGGGACACGAGCCTCTGAGCTCCCTGTGAAGCAGCAAGGGCCACGGGCCTGCCTGCAGGGGTCCCTTGGGGCTTGGAGGTCTGAGCTTCTGGTCTGAACGGGAGGGAAGCCCAAGGGAGGGGCCTCCCAGAGGCAAAGCTTGGGTTCCTAAGCAGGCTAGGGGAAGGAGCAGTAAGGCCTCCCCAGTAGACTTCCTGGAACAGCTTTGGGTCAATCATTGATCTCATGTGTGAGAGCCATGGAGGGACAGAGTCCAGAACACCTAAGGAGAAGGAATCTCACGCCTTCCCACACTCTTGCCCAACCCTCTGCCCTCCCTGACCTGTGCCAACCCAGGACCCTACCTAGCTGCCTGGCCCCACCTCCACCCTGTGTGTACTCAAGGAGGACCAGGAACAGGACATGGCCACAATCTAAACCGACCACAGTCCCAACCACCAGGCTCAGGTGCCACCCTGACTGCTCACCCAGAGAATGGCAGTGGCCTGGGGTCCGTTTGGGTAGGGGGCCTTACAGGGGCCCCTCCCTGCCCGGGTCCTGCAGGAGTTAATGCCTTTGGCTCCAGTCTCTTTTCCTGTGGCCTTGGGCCAGAGGGTGGAGGTAGGGCCTGGGGCAGCTGTGGGGAGGGGCTGTGACCTCCCTGAGGTGCTCTAGATTTGTGCCCACCCTGGCCTGGGCACAGGGAGGGGAGAGGGCTAAGGACTGGCGCGGGAGAGCCACTGAGGTGGCCTGACTCAGAGTCCCACACCCCAGCCAGGGGGAGACACAGGGGAAATGGGCCAAGATGGGGGCAGGAGGTGAAGGCTGTTTCCCTGGCTGACACCCTTGAGGTGTGAGCTGGAAACAACCTGTTAAGACCCCCTTTTGCCCTCCCTCCAAAGCCAACTTGGTAGAGTTCACGGTGAGCAGTGAAGCTGCGGCCCAGGCCTTAATCCTACCTCTCCTGCTCTCCAACTTCTCCCACCAGCTCTGCCCCTGCCCATCTCCCCCCCCCGAACTCCCGAGGGCCAGGAAGGAGGATCCTGGGCCAGGGTAGGAGCACACTGCAGGGAAGGATGTGGGAGGGACAGGACATGGGGAGAGACATGCACTCAGGCTTCACTCTCCCTACCCCGTGCCCTCAGGGAAACCAGCCAAATATGACCCCACCTTCCGAGGTCCCATCAGGAACAGGTGAGTTCTGGGCACTGGCCCAACTAGGGGGTGGGGGTCTTGGTTTTGCATTGTATTTGCTGAAATATTGGTAATAAGTTTATAAAAAAGAAAACTCCTGCCCCAGGAGAATGGTGCCCTTGGGTGGACTCTTGTGTCTGGGGCAGGCACAAGGGGCCTTCTGGGGTGCGGGTGATGTTCTGTTGCTTGACCTGGGAGCTAGCTACACGGGTGTGTGCGCTTTGGGAAAATTCATCCAGTGAGGCAGTTAGGAGTTGTTTACTTTTCTGTGTCATACTTCAGAAGTTTACTCACCCAGAAAATGGTTATTTTGGGGTTTTTTTGTCGTCCCCCCCCCCCACACACACACCTTCCTGAGGACAAATGGAAACAAGCGCTTCTTATTTATTCCCTGGTGCATTATGAGAAAAAGGTTTTCTTAGAAAAATAAAATAAGGGCGCCTGGATGGCTCAGTGGTTAAGCGTCTGCCTTGGGCTCAGGTCGTGATCCCAGGGTCCTGGGATGGAGCCCTGCCTCGGGCTCCCTGCTCAGCAGGGAGTCTGCTTCTCCCTCTGCCTCTGCCTCTCCCCCTGCTTGTGCTCTGTCTCTCTCGCAAATGAATAAATAAAATCTTAAAAAAAAAAAAGAAAAAGAAAATAAAACCTACCGACACGCCTTCTCCAGCATCTCCCAACTCCCCAGCCCATGACTCCTCCAAACCACGCAGCCCGCCTCCCCCGGCACAGCCTCCCCCACTTCTCTCCCAGGAGCTGCACGGACATCATCTGCTGTGTCCTCTTCCTCGTCTTCATTCTGGGTTACATCGTGGTGGGGGTCGTGGGTGAGTTTCCAGCGGGCACGGTGCTGGGGCGGTGGTGGGACGCGGGGGCGGGGCCGGGGGAGAGCAAGGACCATCCCCGAGGCTGCTCCCCACCCCCCAAGTCCCACCCTCCGGTGATTCAACTCTCCATCTGCTTCCAGCTTGGGTGTATGGAGACCCCCGGCAAGTCCTCTACCCCAGGAACTCGACCGGCGCCTACTGCGGGGTGGGGGCTAACAAGTGAGTACAAAGGCAAGAGATGGGCAGGTGGGGGCGCCTGGGTGGCTCAGTGGTTAAGCGTCTGCCTTGGGCTCAGGTCATGATCTCAGGGTCCTGGGATCAAGCCCGCATCGGGCTTCCTGCTCAGCGGGGAGCCTGCTTCTCCCTCTGCCTGCCGCTCCCCCTGCTTGCGCACTCGCTCTCTGACAAACAAGTAAATAAAATCTTTAAAAAAAAAAAAAAAGAGAGAGAGAGAGGGGCAGGCTCCCAAGCACGGTCCCAACACTCAGGCTCCAGATCCTTCCTCTGTTGCCCCTCACCCCCCCGGGCCACAGCCTCCCTGAGTCTCCCCAGGCGAGGCCGCATTGAGCAGCCTCCATTTCTGAGCAGCAGGCTTCTGATGCCCTCCAAAAATGGAAGGCAGAGCCATGGTTAAGTACTTGGGTTTTTAAAGTTCAGACTTTAGCGTTTGACTCCCCAACGGGGCTAAGTAAGTTCTGGTCGTATGGCCTTGGGCAAGGTCGTCAACCTCTCTGAGCTTTTGATTTCTTAATCTGAAAGTCAGGGGGGAGTCCCTGAAACCATGCTATCAGTTCCGCCAGCAGGAAACTTCCAGTAAATAATAAAACCTTCCCAATGACACGGCATTTCCTACGTTCCAGGCAGACCAGACGGTGTACTTTGCACACACACACTCATTTAAACCCTATGAAGCAGGTCCTATTACCTTACACCTGATGGGATTGAGGCAGTGAGCAGCTAAGTGACTTGCTCAAGGTCGTAAAACTCTTAGCCATTTGGTAGCAGCTTTGATGCTCAATTACTCTGGGAAGTCTTCCGGGTGCCTCCTGTATCTTCCCAGCTGAACTGAGCTTCCTAAGGCCAGGAGCTGAGTGGTGTGCATCAGGGTATGGGTCCCACACACACTTCCGCTGGGCCTACTGTATTCTTGAGCCAGGGCCCCGGCGGTCCTCCCCTTTCCCCACACCTGACCGGGCCCTGATGCCCACACTTCCTTTCCTCCCACAGAGATAAACCGTATCTTCTCTACTTCAACATCTTCAGCTGCGTTCTGGCCACCAACGTCATCACGGTCGCTGAGAACGGCCTACAGTGTCCCACAACCCAGGTCAGAGCCTGGGACCCGCCTCTGCCCTGGTCGCCCCCAGGATCCAGGTACCAGCCCCTCAGCACTCTCTCTGCCCCCAGGTGTGTGTGTCCTCCTGCCCCAATGTCACATGGACGGTGGGAGCCGACCAGCTCTTGCAGAAGGTTGGGGAGGTCTTCTACACGGCCGACAGGAACTTTTGCCTGCCAGGGGTGCCCTGGGATATGGTAAGAACTGCCTCCAGTGTCATCCCTGTGGCCAAGGAGGAGTCACCTGGGTGGGAGGAGGGGGAGTTGGGTAGGTGACTATGGTGGTGGTGGGGTGGTGTGGGGGGGCTCCCTCCTTCATCCTGCTCTGTCTGTATGTCCTCCCCCGACCCCCAGCCAGTGACCCAAAGCCTGCAGCAGGAGCTCTGCCCCGGATTCCTCCTCCCTTCCACTCCAGGTGAGAAGCTGCATTCCTTTCTCGGGCAGCATCTAGTCCTGTATTCTTACTGCTCAAATGAGGAAACCAGGCCCAGAGAGAGTAAAGTCATGCAGCTTGTCTGGCCGAACTGGAATTAGCACTGGGTCTTCATTTTGCCCTCTGCAGCTTGACCCTACCATCTTGTGCACCTGCTGGGCCCCAGGCACCCAGGCGAGTCACAGGGCAGATGAAACTGCTCCGGGTTCGAGCTGCATTTTAGGTGCAGAGATCAGAGATGTTGGCAAAGACACTACATGAGCATCCCACAGAAACACAGCTGGGCCAATGTACCCACACACGTTAATGTCTGTGCTCTGGGAGCAGACTGGATGTCCAGCCAGACTCACAAGCAAATGTGGCTGGGTGCTGGGCTCGCAATTGACTTTTTAATTTTTTCTATATGTTCTTCTTTCCAATAGTCAATGGTATTTTTAATAGGAAAAAATTTTAATTATAGCATGAGAAAACATAGCCAATTCTCAAATAAGTACAATAAAAAGACCTCAAATGAATGCTCCAAACTCAGATCCAGATTCCAGCACTTTCCAGCTGTGTGGTCTTGGGCCAAGTACTCAACCTCTCTGAGCTTTGTTTCCTCATCTTTAGAATGTAAATGCCAAAGCCAGCTTTCTTGGCAAAGCCGTTGGAAGTGTGGAGATAAAGGATTCTGTAGGCACATAACAGGTGCCGCAGGAGTTGGGGAAGGGGTGAGAAGGCTTCCTGGAGGAGGTGACATGGAGATGGAGCTGAACAGGGAGTAATGGATGGGATTTCTGGAGGGAGAACACTCAGAGAGAGGCTCAGGGAGAGCAGAGGTAGAGGTGAGGGGAAAGTGGGCTGAGCTCCGATGGTGGGGCCTTGAAGCCTGGCCAGGGAGCGTGGGCACTCCAGGGCAGAGCTGCTGGAAGTGTCTGAGCAGCAGAATGCTCTAGAGCCCGGGAATGAGGAGGCATGGTCTCCCTGACACTCGGGCAGAGGGGGGTGGAAGGGTGGAGTATAAGGGTGGGTGGAGGGTGGAGTGTAAGAGTCAGGCCAGAGGAAATGCGGGTCTCCACCTGGCAGAGACAGTGCCGGGCGGGGGCGGGGGGGGGGGGGGGGGGGGTGGTCCTGAGAGACTGGGAAGGAAGCTGACCAGGGCCCCGCGGGCGGGAACTCCCTCTTTGCTGTGGAGTCAAGAGCAGCTCTCTGGATGGGGAGGGGGGCAAAGCCCATCTCTCCTGCCTTCCCTAAGGCCACTGGGGTGCTGGGTGGAGGCCAGAGGCTTTCAAGGCAAAGCTCTGGGCCTGCCCACCCAGGAGCCCCGGTTCTCTCCCCCCAGCTCTGGGGCGTTGTCTTCCACGGGTGAACAGCAGCACTCCACCTGAGCTCCCAGGGATCCCCAGCAACACCACCATCTCCCAGGGGATCAGGTGGGCATCCTCCTGCCCCCACACCTCTGTCCCGTACCCCTTCCTCCCCAAAAGCCCCATCTGACTCTGCACCCCGCCCCCGGAAGCGGTGTTCTTGACAGCCTCAGTGCCCGTGACATCACTGTGAAGATCTTCGAAGATGTAGCCCAGTCCTGGCATTGGATTCTTGTGTGAGTCCCTGGTCCCCCTACTCTCTCCCTCCCTGCTGCCCTCCCCCTCCTCTGGCCCCTAGCCCAATGTCTGAAGCAGAAACTTTGGACAGAGGAGGAGGAGCCTGGAGCTCAGAACTGACCCCACATCCAACAAGATTTGTACGAGAAAGGGGGTCTAACCTGGGGACATCGGGAGTGTGAGGCATTCAGGAGCCTCGGAAAGGGAGAAGATTTAGGGGCCCAGGGATGACTCTCAACTACCTCACCCTGCCTACAGCGCCCTAGGTGTGGCTCTGGTCCTGAGCCTGCTGTTTATCCTGCTTCTGCGCCTGGTGGCCGGGCCGCTGGTGCTGGTGCTGATCCTCGGGGTGCTGGGCGTGCTGGCATACGGCATCTACTACTGCTGGGAGGAGTACCGAGTGCTGCGGGACAAGAGTGCCCGCATCAACGAGGTGGGCATCACCACCAACCTCGGCGCCTACCGCAACGTTCAGGAGACCTGGCTGGCCGCCTGTGAGTGCCCTGCCCGCTGCCGGACCACCAGCCGCCCAGGGACTGGCCCGGGCCTTGCCGAGCCCCGGCCCTGACGCAGGCCCCTCTGCTCCCTGTCCGCCCCCAGTGATCGTGCTGGCTGTGCTTGAAGGCATCCTGCTGCTGCTGCTCATCTTCCTGCGGCAGCGGATCCGCATCGCCATCGCCCTCCTGAAGGAGGCCAGCAAGTCAGGACCTGTCTGGGAGGGAGATGGGGCAGAGGACAGGGGTGCAGGCATGGCATGGCAGTGCTGGGAAGGTGGCGGGGAGCCCCAGAGGAGAAGGACAGAGTTACGCAGTGGTTAACCCTGCAGTGTGACTCAGTTTGTCTGACACTCGGTTTACCCACCTGTGAAATGGGGACAATAATAGTTCTTTTTTTTTTTTTTAAGATTTTACCTATTTATTTGAGAGAGAGTGAGGGAGAGAGAGCATAAGCAGGGGGAGTGGCAGGCAGAGGGAGAGGGAGAAGCAGGCTCCCCGCCGAGCAGGGAGCCCGATGCGGGACTCGATCCCAGGACCCTGGGATCATGACCTGAGCTGAAGGCAGATGCTCAACCAACTGAGCCACCCAGGCGCCCGGGGGTGGGGGCCAATAATAGTTCCTACTTCGTAGGGTCGTCATGAGGATTAAATGAGTTAGTGTCTTGTCAGGCCCTCAGAGCAGGAAGCGCACTCTCCGTGAGGAGCGGTCAGAAAGGTGGTTGCTGTGGTGGTGGCTGGCGGGCGCGATGGCAGGAGCCCAGGCTTGTTCCCACACCAGCCCTACCTGCCGAGCCCATCAGGAGACCGGACTTTGAGGACTCTGCTCCCTTATCTTCCCTGAAGCTGCCCCGGGTGGCTTCTCTGTGACTCTAATTTCCTCTAAGGGTCCCTCGAGCCTGGTTTATTCAGTTCCGTTCATTCAGTGAGCACCTACTGTGTGCCCAGCCTAGGGGACAGAGCAGACCCTGGCAAGGATAGTGGTGGGACCTTGTCAGGGTCAGCCCCAGGACAGGATGATGGGTGGGCGCTGGGGCCCGGGGCCGTACTGATGGACTACTCTTACCTCCCTACAGGGCTGTGGGGCAGATGATGTCTACCCTGTTCTACCCTCTGGTCACCTTTGTCCTTCTGCTCATCTGCATTGTCTATTGGGCCATGACTGCCCTGTATCCTTTGCCCACATGGCCAAGGCCCTCCTGAGGCGGGGTTGGTGGCGGGGAGGAGGGCGGTGGTGGCAGGGAAGGGGCAGTATTTACCTGTACAATGCATTAGTGCAATGGGAAGAAGATGCCCCTTCCTTTGGGCAGACACAGGCCTGCCCCTGGACAGAGTTGAAAGACTGAGCCCAGGCTGATTTCCAACCCTTTCTGCAGTGAACAACCTGCGCAAGTGCCCGGGAAGGTGTCCCTGAGGAGGGGACCCGTGGAGACCGCCATGTGACTACACCTTCTTCCTTGACTCCCCTCTGGGTACCTGGCCACATCCGGGCAACCCCAATATGTCCTCTGGGCGCCCAACGCCAGCTTGCCCAACTGTGAGAAAGTGCAAATGAATACATCGTGCAACCCCATGGTGAGGGGATTTGGGGTGGACATGGTGGTGGGCACCAGCAGGGCTGAGGTGACCTTAGGGGCCAGCTGGTCCAAATCCCACATTGTGCAGCAGAGACTGAGGACCAGAGAGAAAAAGGAGTTCCCTCACGGTCGCATGACAGGCCCCCAGCAGAGCCAGAAAGGGGGCCAGCAGTGGACTCCAGATCCAGTATGCCTCCCCCTCCGCCACCCCTTACTCAGAGAAGGAAACTGAGGCTGGAGGCGGCGTGCGGCTCTGGGAAAGCGGGGTCGGCACTTCCCACCCTCCCCTGGACTGGCCTCTGCCAGGAGGACTGTTAGCCACTTCAGCCTCCAGTCTCAGTCCATTCGTCTGTAAAATGGAGTCAATCATAATACCTGTCCCTCAGGGTGGCTGAGAAGATTGAATGACATCAGGCACATAAAGTGCTTTGTACAATGTCTGGCACCTGATAAGAGCTGATAACTGTAGATGGGTTTTGTTTCATTTTTTGAAGCCTTTTTCCTGGGAACACAGTGCCTTAGGCAAAAGGCAGGTGGGGCTGGGGGGTGGGGGAAGAGAAGCCGCTTCCCCACACTCTCCCCTGTGGGGTTCCCAGAAAGTGCACGGGACTGCAGGGGATTTGCTGTCCTCAGAACTTTCATGGGGCCACCTCTTGGAAGCTGGGATCGGGGGCTTTGCTCCCAGGCATTAGTCCACTCTACAACAGGAAAGGGAGGGAGGTTGGTTTACATTTAGGGAAGACCCACCCTGTGCCAGGCACTAGGTATGCAAAGCTCCAAATGACCTGGTTCTCGCTTCCAGCTTGTTCAGGATCTAGCAGTGGAGACTGCTAGAAACCCACAATTACAAAGTGGAAAGTAGTTTATTTTCCTATTAAAAAATTTCGAAGACACACAGCAATTTCAGCAATTCTTAGATTTTTGTCACATTTGCTGGAAAGGGTTGTTGGGTTTTTTTGTTTTTTGTTTTACTTCTGTGTTTTTTACTTTTTATTGTGGAAATTTTCAAACCCACACAAACTCTCACCTTCCCACTGTGCTTGCTTCATCCATCTCCACTCTCCCACCCCCACAATCCTTTTTCCTGGAGTTTTTTAAGGTAAATTCTGGACATAAGTGCCAGTTCACCCATAAACACATCAGGATGGATCTCGACAGATAAGCATTTTTTACTTTTTTTTTTTTTTTTAAATAATCTCTACCCCCAACGTGAGGCTCAGACTCACAGCTCCGAGATCAAGAGTCGCACACTCTACAGATTGAGCCAGCCAGGCGCCCTGACAGATAAGGACTTTTAAAAGCATAACCAAAGGGGCGCCTGGGTGGCTCAGTCAGTTAAGCGTCTGACTCTTGATTTTGGCTCAGATCATGATCTCAGGGTGGTGGCCTCAGGGTCACGGGATTGAGGCCTGGGGCAGGCCCCCTGCTCAGTGGGGAGTCTGCTTCAGATTCTCTCCCTCTCCCTCTGCCCCTCTCCCCGCGCTCTCTCTCTCTCTCTCTCTCTAGAAAGAAATCTTAAAAAGAAAAAAACACACAACCAAAAAAATAAAAAATAAATTTTAAAATAAATAGAAAGCATAACCACTATACCATTATCACACCCAACAAGATTAACGATAATTCCGTAATACCATCCAATACCCAGGCTGTTCATTTTTGCTGGCAAGCATTTTGGTTGAAGTTGCAGAGGCTGTCTTTTTTTTTTTTTTTTTAAGATTTTATTTATTTGACAGAGAGAGCACAAGCAGAGGGAGAGAGAGGGAGAAGCAGGCTCCCTGCTAAGCAAGGAGCCCAATGTGGGACTCAGCCCCAGGACCCTGGGATCATGACCCAGGCCGAAGGCAGCCGCTTAACCGACTGAGCCACCCAGGCGCCCTGCAGAGGCTGTCTTAGAGCGTCAGGGAGAGAGCTAGGTGCAGGTTACACTGCCTTCACACCATTAAGGCTTGGCCCACGCAGCCTGGGAGCTCTTGTGCCCATATGGAGACTGAAGGAAAGCTAACTACTCTCACACACTAGGCAATCTGAACCCAACTAGAACCTGGAGAAGGATCTCCTGGAAGGAAATGGCTTCCCCAACTCAGGGAGGCTGCTACTTCCCTCCCTCTCCTCTGGGAGTGGCAGGAGTTGGCTGTGAATGACCGTACTGTCACCCCCAGGCCCAGCCCATGAACTACTCATGCCCAGGGCTGAAGTGCGTCTTCCAGAGCTACTCATCCACAGGCCTGGTTCAGCGTTCTCTCTTCAACTTGCAAATCTACGGGGTCCTGGGTCTGTTCTGGACCATCAACTGGGTACTGGCCCTGGGCCAGTGTGTCCTGGCTGGGGCCTTTGCCTCCTTCTACTGGGCCTTCTACAAGCCCCAGGACATCCCCACCTTCCCCCTGAGCTCTGCCTTCATCCGAACACTCCGGTAAGCCCAGGGCAGGGGGCTGGGAATTGTGAGCCTGGGAGTCTCTGGGGCCCTGGAGCTGCCTCTGACTGCCTGGCCCCTCTGCAGTTACCACACTGGGTCGCTGGCCTTTGGAGCCCTCATCCTGACCCTTGTGCAGATAGCCCGAGTCATTCTGGAGTACATTGACAGCAAACTGAGAGGTGAGCAGCTGGCCCCTTGGGGAGGGGCTGTCAGGGGACAGTTACCAAACATGAGCTCCCCCTTTCTCCCAGGAGCCCAGAACCCTGTGGCCCGCTGCATCATGTGCTGCTTTAAGTGCTGCCTCTGGTGTCTGGAGAAGTTTATCAAGTTCCTAAACCGCAATGCCTACATCATGGTGAGCCCCGCTGCACGAGCAGCCCCTTGTTCTGGGGTCCCTTGGCTCAGGCCCCTGCCCTGATCCAGGTAAGCTCCACACAGGTGACTCTGACCTTTCAACCCCACTCAGATCGCCATCTACGGGAAGAATTTCTGTGTCTCCGCCAAAAATGCCTTCATGCTGCTCATGCGGAACATTGTCAGGTCAGGCTCGCCCCCACCCCCAGGATCTCCTACCCGAGGCCGGCTTCGTGGGCATGCAGTGCTCAGCAGGGCCTCGAGCTTGGTTGAATGTTCTGCTGCCTTCATCTTGAAGTGTGAACGATTTTCATTTTGCATCTGTCCCAGCAACTTACATAGCCAATCCAGTTCCTAGCCCTGCCGGACTCCCTCATGCCCGACCCACCCCAACTTCCCATACAGGGTGGTCGTTCTGGACAAAGTCACAGACTTGCTGCTGCTCTTCGGGAAGCTGCTGGTGGTTGGAGATGTCGGTAAGGGCCAGCGCTGGGCGTTACGCGGACGGAGGGCAGGGGCAGAGGGCAGCCGAGGTGACCTCAGAGGAGTGATGACGCTGACCTCCAGACCCTCTCCCCCAGGGGTGCTGTCCTTCTTTTTCTTCACCGGTCGCATCCAGGGGCTGGGTAGAGACTTTGAGAACCCCTCCCTCAACTATTACTGGCTGCCCATCATGGTGAGTGACTCCCCAGCTCTGCCTCACTGTCCAACCCCCCAAGGGAATCTAACATGCCCTGGATATTCCAGATCTCCATCCTGGGGGCCTACGTCATTGCCAGCGGCTTCTTCAGCGTTTTTGGCATGTGCGTGGACACACTCTTCCTCTGTTTCTGTGAGTGACAGCCCCTCCCACTCCCCCCAAATTTCAAGGTACCAGATTATTTAGGGTGTTTTGGAGACTTGGGACTTCTAGAAACAGCAACTTTGTGAGTTAAAGGAGCCAAAGTCAGAGGAAGCCTCTTCTGCCATCCTCAAGCCAGGGCCTTGCGGAAGAAAAGAGGAAGTGAGCTGCCAGGCTGGCAGGGTCTCCCAAGAAAGAGCATTCCAGGGCGGAGGCCTCTGGTGTCTCTCCGTAGAAAATCGAAGGTAGAATGGCCACAAGAGACTTCCCAGCAGGTGGCTGTAGTGAGTGGGGATTATCTCACCCTCCTATGACCATTGAACAACCTCATTTTTTCCCGGATAAATATAGTAAGTACTGTAAAAGTATTCTCTTTTCCTTAGGATTTTCTTAACATTTTCTCTTCCTTAACTATTTTATTGTAAGAATACAGTATACAGTACATATAACACACAAAATAGGTGTTAACTGACTGTTACCAGTAAGGCTTTGGGTCAACAGTAGGCTATAAAATTTGGGGGGAAAACAGTAATAGGCGGATTGTTGATTGGGTGGGGGGGAGTCAGCGCCCCTAATCCCTGTGTCGTTCAAGAGTCAGCTCTACATCCATTCAGGGTTTAGTATGCACTGCAGTCTGCAATACGCGGCTGACATGCATTTCTGTTCTTAAGCTCTAGCACGCTGTGAAATACAATATTACTGACCCCATTTTACCAAGAGGAAACCGAGATTACATATCGGTTACCAAAACTGCCCAAAAGAACAGCCCGTGTCGGTGCAGCCTTGAAACCAGGCAGCTAGTCTCGTCTTCCCCTATCTTCCGGGGGAGTGGGGTAGCTCGGGAGGGTCCACTCTAACGGTCTCTGTTGCGGCTCAGTGGAAGACCTGGAGAGGAACGACGGCTCCCTGGACCGGCCCTACTACATGCCCAAATCCCTCCTGAAGATCCTAGGCAAGAAGAACGAGGCATACCCAGGGGACAAGAAGAAAAAGAAGTGAGAGACGCGGCCCTGATCCAGGGCTGCACCCCTCCTGTACGGCCTCCCAGCCTCACCCCGCCTTCCAGATCTCGATTTTGTAGTTTAAAAAAAATTATTAAAGGTTGATACTTTGTTTTCTCAAAAAGTCCGGGACTTTTATTTCCTCCATGACGACTTGCAGCTTTTTTCCGCCTCCTGGCTCTTTAAAATAGGCCCCGCCCCTCTAACGCGCCCTAGGTGCCATGGCCAATCAAAAGGTTCCTGCGGAGTGATGCCCGCCCTTCTTCATCCCAGCCAATAACCTTCTAGTCGGGGTCACAAGCTCCGAGGCTTCAAAAAGGAGCCAATTGGAAGGTCCGGCTCCGGTCATGTGAGGAGTCTGAGTGTGTGAGGGCCAATTAGAGTCGCGGAAGTGCGGCAGGTGGCTGGACTCCGGGCGGTTTGGGGGAGTTGTGGACGCGGGGCGGGGATGAGTAGTAGCTGGCGTTTAAAGGGCCGGGTCAGCTGGGCCACTGCAGCCCGCGTCTAATCCTGGGGGCCTGGGTCCCGGCTGCCCAGGAAGAGATGATGGCGAACCGACCCGGCACAGTGCTCCTGGGCAGGCCCGGGGGACCGCGGATGCCCGGGTTCTGGGGAGGATGTAGAGTTCAGGTATTTGCCGCGATCTTACTGCCGCTGTTGTCTCTGGCAGAATTTGGGGCTGCGATAAGGAACGACTTCAGTCTGGTGAGTCTCCCCTTGTATTACCCATCCCCGACCCACGCGGGTCGTCTATGCCCAGCGCCCCCCGGGACGCGGGCTGCTGAGACCCCCTCCTCCGAGGGACTCTCCCGCCGCTCTCAGACCCCGTTCCCTCCATCCGCTCCCCGCCTCTCTCCCTTCCCGGGCCCTTGTCCTCCTGCCCTCCGAGTCTCCTCTTCATTCGAGTTCGTTCCCTTTGGAGGTCCCCCACCCCCGCGCTGCCCGAAGGCGCCTTCTCCTCTTATAGCCCTTCCCCGGTTCCGAGCCCCCCCCCCCCCGCTTTGCTCCAGACTCTCCTCCGGTTCCCCTTCCTCATTCTGCCCCCCACCCACACTCTGACCCCCAACATCCCGGCCTTCCCAGGAAAACTCGACCCGGAGCCACTATTCATCAGTCCTAAAACCCGAAATAGTTTGTCCGTTGACCCTTCCTTCCTCCTCCCTTCGCAGGTTCAGCCGCTGGTGACCATGGAGCAGCTGCTGTGGGTGAGCGGGAGGCAGATCGGTTCTGTGCACACCTTCCGAATCCCGCTCATCACAACCACTCCTCAGGGCACTCTGCTTGCCTTCGCCGAGGCCAGAAAAATGTCCACATCGGATGAGGGGGCCAAGTTCATTGCTCTTCGGAGATCCACTGACCAGGGTATAAAGATGCCTGGGTGTAAAGGTCTGGTGTTGGGTTGCATGGGTGGGGAGCCTGACCTGCCCAAGGGCCCTGAGGATAGGATAGGACCACTGGGAGAGCTGGAGGCCTGGGTCCCTGAGGGGTAGAGGGAATTGAGGAGAGAAGCTGTCCAGAGCAAGGATCTAGAAATTGTGATCACCTAGGAGTTGAGCGTTCAAACATTTATTGAGCACCTGCTATATCCCAGGCCCTGTTCTAGATTCTGTGAATACGCTTGTGAACAAAGCAGATCAAAAATCTCCACCTTTGGGGCGCCTGGGTGGCTCAGTTGGTTAAGCGACTGCCTTCGGCTCAGGTCATGATCCTGGAGTCCCGGGATCGAGTCCCGCATCGGGCTCCCTGCTCAGCAGGGAGTCTGCTTTTCCCTCTGACCCTCTTCCCTCCCGTGTTCTCTATCTCTCATTCTCAAATAAATAAATAAATAAAATCTTTAAAAAAAAAAATCTCTGCCCTTGTGGGGCTTATATTGTCTGTGGGGAGACAGACAATAAACATAATAAATAAGTAAGTTTATTTTTTGTTGGAAAGTGATAAATATAATGGAGAGAAATAAAGCCATGCTGGAGATTGGGTGCAATTTTATTTTTTTAGTTTTTTTAAAGATTTTATTTATTTCTTTGAGAATCGCTTCTTGGCCTTTTGGCTAAGATCAAGTGTATTTATTTATTTGAGGGAGCTCTCGAGTGAGAGAGCACAAAGCAGAGGGAGTGGCAGAGGTATACCAGTCAGATGTCACTAGCCTGTGCGGAGGCCTCCCGGAGAGAAGTATCTGAGGAATGGGAAGGAGCTTGGGGGACATGACGGAGTGAACAAGGGTAGAAGAGATTAGGTCAGAGAGATGAGGTGGGGCAGGTCTTGTAGGGCCCTGGGGCCATGCTGAGGCCCTGGGTCTCTACCAAGAGGTGGAAATTAACAGGGAGTGGTAGAAAGGGCACCTTCAGAGTACTCACCCTGGATTACTTCTCTTTTCTCTCCAGGCAGCACATGGTCTCCGACAGCTTTCATCGTAGATGATGGGGACACCCCAGATGGGCTGAACCTGGGGGCAGTGGTGAGCGATATGGAGACAGGAGTGGTGTTCCTTTTCTATTCCCTCTGCGCTCACAAGGCAGGCTGCCAGGTGGCCTCCACCATGTTGGTGTGGAGCAAAGATGACGGGGTTTCCTGGAGCCCTCCCCGGAATCTCTCGTTGGATATTGGCACCGAGATGTTTGCCCCTGGACCGGGCTCTGGCATCCAGGTCTCTGTCCTGAGATGGGTGGAGGGGGCTGCCTTTTGAGGAGTCTGGGAGATGCCCCCAGTTGGGCTTCTTCCCCAGGGAGAAGGTCTCGTGAAGTCAGGTTTCTGCTTAGATGGCATTCCTTGGAAGAAAAGGACATCCTGGGAGGAACTCCCTCCCAAGGGAAGATGGAACTTTGCCATCGCCTTCCCATCTGGGGGTTGTCAACAGGGCCTTATTAGTCTACATGGTACCTGTGCAGAATGGAAAAAGGCACCCCTTCCTTTGAGCAGACACAAGCCTGTGCCGTGGTGTGCAGCTTGGTGAGTGAGCACACCAGGCCTGGCTCTAAGCTCCCACGCACCCCTGTGGCTAGGCCCTCTGGTCCTGTACACAACCTGTCCTCCAGTGTATGCCCCGGATGTCCTGAAGAAGCTCATTCTGCAAAAAAGCTCCTTGATTCAGGCAGTGGTGTTTATGAGATCCTCCTGGGACCCTCAGGAGCCAGGACAGAACTGGAGGGGACCAGAAGTGTTCTCACACTTGGGAGGTAATGGGTTCCCCTTCTCTGCCTGGGAGCCCCTTCAGTGACTGCAGCTTCCTTTCCTGCAGAAGCAGCGGGAGCCGCGGAAGGGCCGCCTCATCGTGTGTGGCCATGGGACGCTGGAGCGGGACGGGGTCTTCTGCCTCCTCAGTGATGATCACGGTGCCTCGTGGCGCTATGGCAGTGGGGTCAGCGGCATCCCCTACGGCCAGCCCAAGCGGGAGAACGACTTCAACCCTGATGAGTGCCAGGTCAGGAGGCCCTGGCGCTTCCCCACCTGCCCCGCCTGCCCTGCCTCACAGACCCAGGATCTGGCCACCCAGCTCTGTGCCACCGCCTCCCCGCCCCCTGCCTGCTTCCTCAGGGACAGGGTCCCTGGGTCTTGCTGAAGCCCTGTTCTCCCCTGCTAGCCCTATGAGCTCCCAGATGGCTCAGTCGCCATCAACGCCCGGAACCAGAACAACTACCACTGCCACTGCCGGATAGTCCTCCGCAGCTACGACGCCTGTGACACAATACGGCCCCGGGATGTCACCTTTGACCCTGAGCTTGTGGACCCTGTGGTAGCTGCAGGAGCCATAGCCACCAGCTCTGGCATCGTCTTCTTCTCCAATCCAGCCCATCCCGAGTTCCGTGAGTGTCTGTCGGGGGGGGCGGGGGGAGCCAGCGAGGGGAGCCTCCCTTATCTAGAGAAGGTGTGCCCAGAGCCCCTCCCCTGACCCTCCCGCCCTCCCCAGGTGTGAACCTGACCCTGCGCTGGAGCTTCAGCAATGGTACCTCGTGGCGGAAGGAGACGGTCCAGCTGTGGCCAGGCCCCAGCGGCTACTCCTCACTGGCAGCCCTGGAGGGCAGCATGGGCGGGAAGGACGAGGCCCCCCAGCTCTATGTCCTGTATGAGAAAGGCCGGAACCAGTACACAGAGAGCATCTCCCTGGCCAAAGTCAGTGTCTACGGGACACTCTGAGCTGTACACCTGCCACAGGAGTAGAAGGCCTTGGACTTAGCCTTCGGGGCCATGGGTCCATAGAGATCTGCTAGAGTTGCCTAAAAGACAGTTCTACCTTCCTTTAGACTCTAGCCTTTTGCAAAACCAAGTTCTCTTTGACAGGGAAATCACTCTGTTAGGACTGCAAGCCTGGCTTCTTCCACACAGGAAGTCCTGCCCTCACTTGAGAGCACTTTCTTTCCATATCATTGCTGGGTTTGGCCCCCTGCCCCTTCTGCCTTCCTGGGGCAATGATTGGTCCTTTTCTAGGCAGAGCTAGGCAGGCCTGTAGAATTGAATAAATGCAAACTCAGGGAATTGGGGAAAGCTGAGCTTCCTCTTTGGGGTAAGATGCTGGCTATGGTGTGGGCTGGTGAAAGTTCTGGAAGGGCAGTATTTGGATTCAGGGTAAAGAACTAGGTGCACCACCCACCTTGACTATTTATAAATTGAAATATTTGTAACTTAACGTTTTCAATGAAGGAGAATGAGCATTTGTCAAGTCTGTGTGGTTCTATCAATGCACATCTTCCTGTCCATTCCTCCTGTATGCTTTTAAGAGGCTGGGAATGAGCTTTGGGGGGGAAGCTGGTGTGCTTACTGCCTGCGGAAATCGGACTTCAGCAAATTAAATCCTCCTTTCCCTTTCTCATTTTTCTTTCTCACAGGAAATCAGATCCATCTTCATAGGTATAATGAGGAGTAGCAGGGGGAGCCCCGTGAGATATTAAAACTTCTGCCCTGTTTCATATTGCTAAGATGGAGTCCTCTGGGAGGCAGGGGGCAGGTGTGTCAAATGCAGATGGGAAGCCTCTCACCTAGGCCAACCTGGCAGAGAAATAAGCACGGTGACAAATTACGTGAGAAAATAGCACCACCCTCAAGCAGATGCTGTGAAGAGAATGGGCAGCCTACAGATGAGTGGGAGAGCCATATGTAGCTTTCCTCCATATGGAGGAAGAAAGAAAATATGATGCCTAGATGAGGTGATGAGAGTGTTAAAGACTGAGGAGTAAGGGTCACATTCACTTACAGTTAGAGGTTCATTTTACTTTCAACTTGCTTCTCTAATTATCCTAACATGTAAGAAATGTTAGGATAATTCATTCTGTCAGATAGGAAAAGTGGAATGATCCCACTGTCTGTGAGGATATGGTTCAATTTTGTATTTGATCCAGAATTTGTGACCAATAAGATAATACTTCAATTTTTTCACTTACACACATTTTTAAAAACACAAAGGTAGAGAAAATAGCCTAATGAACCTCCATGTACACCCTATGTGTCCAACATTTGCTTCCTCCAATTCTTTTCTCTTTTCCTTTCCTTGGTTGAACTACTTTGAAGCAAATCCCAGACTTTGTGACATTCACCCCTACGTTCTTAAGTATGCATCTCATTCTTTAAAAATGGAACATTTTATTATATAACCATAACACCACTGCACACCCAAAACATTAACAATAATTCTGGTATCATCTAATATCCATCCAATGTGCAAATTTCATCAAATGTCTCAACGTCTTACAGTTTTGTTCAAATCAGGATCCAAAGAAAACCTACACATTTCATTTTGATGTCTCTTAAATCTAGATTAATCTGCCATCCCACCTCCCCTCTTTCAATTTTTCTTGATACCATCTATGCAGAAATAGAGACATTTATCCTATAGAACGTTCCACTCTGATTTGTGTTTGCTCCTCAGACTGTCCATTTAACTTCTTCCTCCATCCTTCACATTTCTAGTTATCAAACATGAAGTTCTGGCTGCCGATTCCATTTTGGGGGCATGGGCAGGGGAGAGGGCAGCAGGATAAGATCCCTTCCCAGGTGGTGTGTACTTCCTACTGTACCCCCTCAGGGGTAAAGCTGAGCTTGAGCAGTGGGTTCAGGTGGCCACAGCCTGACCCCTCCTTTGTAAGTTCCCCCCATCAACCCTCCAACTGACAATTTCATCCACAGATGGGTTTTGCCTGAATCATTTTGAGGGGTTGTGAAATGTTGATTTTTTAAATTCTATTATTTCTACCCGTTACCTGAAATTCTTCAGTAAAAAAAGAGCTTTCCCTCTGGGCGGCTGGGTGGCTCAGATGGTTAAGCGTCTGCCTTCGGCTCAGGTCATGATCTCAGGGTCCTGGGATTGAGTCCAGAATTGGGCTCCCTGCTCCTTAGGAGCCTGCTTCTCCCTCTGCCTCTCTCTGTCTCTCATGAATAAATAAATAAACAATCTTAAAATAAAAAAGAGCTTTCCCTCATCAAAGCTGTTGGGTTACCCTGAAGCATTGTTTGTAGGGAAAGGCAGGATAAATGCTTAACTTACCCCCCCTTTTAATTGCCAGTTCTCAGAGTAAACTGACTGATGTAATACTTTGTCTTGGCCGGTAAACCACACTGTTACCAACCACACAGGGGACATATAGAGGAAGAATCTGGCCAGCAGGAGGAGGCAGGGGGACATCTGAGGGAAGAAAGGAGGGAGAAACCCAGGCCGCAGGCAGCATGGCTGGTGGGGTGAAGGGGTCTGTTTTTCTAATACAGATCAGGAGATAGGTATGATGCGAGAAGAACGGAGAGGGTGGTGTCTGCAGCAATTGGGACATCTGCTATCTAATAGCACTAAAAACTGCACCTCTGACAAGGTCTTGCTAACAGTGCTTTTAGAAATACTGGGGAAGGGTGCCTGGGTGGCTCAGATGGTTAAGCGACTGCCTTCGGCTCAGGTCATGATCCTGGAGTCCCGGGATCGAGTCCCACATCGGGCTCCCTGCTTGGCGGGGAGTCTGCTTCTCCCTCTGACCCTCTTCCCTCTTGTGCTCTCTATCTCTCATTCTCTCTCTCTAATAAATAAATAAAATCTTTAAAAAAAAAAAAAAAAAGAAAGAAATACTGGGGAAGGGGCGCCCGGGTGGCTCAGATGGTTAAGCGTCTGCCTTCAGCTCAGGTCATGATCCCAGAGTCCTGGGATCGAGTCCCGCATCGGCTCCCTGCTCCTTGGGAGCCTGCTTCTCCCTCTGCCTCTGCCAATCTCTCTCTCTCTCTCTCTCTCTCTCTCTCTCTCTCTGACTTTCATGAATAAATA